AATTAATCTACTTGAAATTCTCTATCATTTGGTATAAATAGTTCATGGAAAACATGTTTGGATGATGATGTTCATGATTAGCGTTCATTAAGAACATGTTTGATTTTAAAGAATTAAATGATGGTTTTTATGTTATTAGTGTTGTAGAGTAATTTCCAAGCCTTTGTGATGATTAAAATCAAGTAGAAATGCTTATAATCAATTTGGTCTAGTTAGGGTTTATGGAAATTGGATTTATTTGATGTTATGATGATTGAAATTACATGAATTTGATCATAGGAGATTGAATTCTTGCTTGAAATTGAATGAAAATCAAGTCTTAGTATACTAATTATATTAGGCCATAGGGGAAAAATTGAGGGAAAATGTTGAAAATTTTCCTATGTTCTAGAACTGATATTAGAAGTGTTCTATATGATTTGGAGATCAATTTGGAACTTTGAGATAGTAAAAAGGAAGATATTCCAATGGCAAGTTGAAATTATCATGTTTTATTAAGGGCAAATGATAATTTCATATGAATTGAATTTTAAATTCATTTATATTAGATAAAGCCAAGTGTAATATGATTTTAATTGAAGAAAAATCAGAAATTTGCATCATGTTCCAACCCCAAAACGTGAACCACCATAGCTAGGTAGGAAAACTTTTTGATTTCATTTTTAAGCTTATTCGATTGATTTTTGGATTAAGCTATTAGATAGAGAATTAATCTACTTGAAATTCTCTATCATTTGGTATAAATAGTTCATGGAAAACATGTTTGGATGATGATGTTCATGATTAGCATTCATTAATAACATGTTTGATTTTAAAGAATTAAATGATGGTTTTTATGTTATTAGTGTTGTAGAATAATTTCCAAGCCTTTGTGATGATTAAAATCAAGTAGAAATGCTTATAATCAATTTGGTCAAGTTAGGGTTTATGGAAATTGGATTTAATTTTATGTTATAATGATTGAAATTGCATGAATTTGATCATAGGAGATTGAATTCATGCTTGAAATTGAATGAAAATCAAGTCTTAGTATACTAATTATATTCGGCCATAGGGGAATAATTTGAGGGAAAATGTTGAAAATTTTCCTATGTTCTAGAACTGATATTAGAAGTGTTCTATATGATTTGGAGATCAATTTGGAACCTTGAGATAGTAAAAAGGCTAATTTATAAGATTTGAGAATTGTAGGATATTATTGCATAAATGTGATATTGAAGTGTTCAATGTTGAATTTTAATACTTGAAATGCTGGGATTTCAAGTTAAATAAGCAATTTGGGATCAAAGTGCAAATTTGGATAAATTTTGTGATGGAATTAGAATAGTCTCAAAAGTTGGGACTTAATTGTGAATTTTCAAATGTGATGGTATTATTTTAGTATGAAATTTCAATGCTGGAAATTTATATCAGCATGCTGATTTTTAAGTTTAAATATTGGATTTGGGATTGAATTGCAAGATTATTAGTGGGTGGTTGAATTCGAAAAGTCTAAGGAAATAGAGGATGAAATTGTAAGTTTTTGAAGGTTAAAGTATTGAATTGAGTATATATTAAGGTACTAGTAATTTTAGTAATTAATGTGCAATGATCATAATGGTGAATGATCATTATGAATTTAAAGGAAAAGTTAAGGTGAATTCTAGAAAGAATTTATAATTAGTGTCCTTATTGTGCAATTGGAAAAAGTTGAAGAGTTGATGAAGGAAATAAATATTTATGGAATCGAATGAGCATTTTTGAGAAAATTGAAATTTTGATGGAAAATATGATTTAGTTTTATATCAATTTTATTTATATGGAATTTTATATTTAAGCTTAGATTATATTAGTTCGATACTAACATATAGTTTGAATATTTTATGTTATTTTATGGCGTCGTCATACCACGATAAATCTAGTTATTCAAGTAATTTGAAAGGGAAGGAAATGTGCGGCATTGAGAAGATTATCGTAGAGAAGATTCAATAGCGAGACAAAGATGAGTGCATATTTAATTTATATATATGTTATCAAACGGACATTGACTTGCGATGAGCTAGTGATGGAGTTACTATGGTAAGAAGTGACTCCTAAATAATATGTTATTTGTGATTCATGCATATATGTCCATTTAGTATGCTAATAGAATTATGGAATAATCTAAGGATGCTAATTAAGGAAAAATGCCTAGAAATTATGATTCGAACAGTAAGTTTAGAAAATCACCATAAGTTATAAAGAAGTGACTAGAGGATGATCTATATACCATTGGATATATATATCATTATAGTTTCATTTAAAACAAACAGATACTGATTTCGAGGAGTATACAAAAAGTTATGAATTTTTAATTGAGGATAGGTCAAAAAATTGGGCGGCATATTATGCTCAAAACAGCCTATATAAGTCAGCTTCGAAAATTTATTATAAATTATACAAGTTGAACAAGAAGGGGTTCTTTATATGGTTAAATTTGTATCGGAGTATAGTTTCCATTGATACTAGGGGAATAATTTTAAGTATGTAGGTTAATACATAATAATATTTATCTGAAGGTAGTGCAAACTGCCAGAGTATGGAATAATTTCGATAAATTATGTAGTTAAAGCAATTGAAAGAAAAAAAATTAAATCTAAATGGTAGTGAGGCTTAAATTTTGACTTATAAATAAAGTGTCAAAGTGAGTGCAATTTATTTATTTAGTTATTCTAATTGAGGACGACTTGTGAAAAGTCAACCTCGTACTATTTAAAGTATGTTTCTATTTTAAATACATATTATTTCCATTATGTTTATATAAAGTTTTATGAATGATTTAGGGTATAAACTGCCCAAGTTAATGTTTTACGATGATGAATTAAAAATTATTTTGATTTTTAAATGTTGATTATTAAATGATTACAATATGATTTAAAAGCCCATTGTAAATTACATTGAGAGTCATAGGTACATTTGGCATGCCATTAAGATAAGTTCAGTCAAGTTAAGTTATGGTACATTTGTGTACATTATGATTCGCACCCTTGGTGCATATGTTATGATTTGCACCTGGAGTGTATCTTATGATAATTATTACGATTGGCACCGTGAAGTGCCTAGTGCGTACCTTATGTCCAACTCACGTACCTTGTATTCTCTTACATATACATTGAGCTATAAAAGTAAATATGAAAGTTATGAAAAGTATATGAAAGAGCATAATATGAAAATGAAATAAAAGTTTTGAAGAATGTTCGAATAAAAAAATATGAATTGTTTATGATATTTGATATTGATTTACATGATTTTTTTTATAAAATCATGAGGTGATGATTTTCAGGTTTTCAAGAAGAAAACGATTTGAAAGTTTTATTTAAATTGCAATTTTATGTTATAATGCTTTATGAAATTTATGTTTTATATCACTTTAGCTATATTACTGCCTCACTAAGTTTTTTTTAGCGCGTGATGATTTTCATGTGTAGGTACAGATAGAGAAAGGAATGTGAAGTGGGGAGCCTTTTGAGCTTCTTTTTAGAAAATCATTCCTAATATCAGTATAAGTAAAATATCTTATCTTTGACTTATTAGTGACATGTATATTATATATGTAGATTGCTTTATCGGATTTGTTTTTCAATGGTTTGTAATAATAAATTAGGGTCATTTTATTAGTTAATCTAGTTATGTCTGTATTTATGAATAAATAGTTTATATATAATTATGTGAGAATTGATTTTGCTAATTAAGCAAGTGTTTAGGAAATTTTATATAACTTATGAAATAGCGCTAAATTGCCTAATTGCTACTTAAAATTTTATTCGTTTTGAACATTCAAATATTGTTATTTTATGATTATACACAATTAATGAAATGATTTTAAAATTGATATCGAAATGTTTTAAAATGAAACAATTTTAAGCGTTTATGATAATTGAATGTCGATAATATTAATGTAACATCTTAACTCGTATTTCGAGATTATACAGTTTTGGGTGTTACAAATACATTAGCACTTGCAAATTAAAGTAAATTTATTAAACTAGAAGCTATGGTATCTCTCATTACTTTCATTTCCTAACGAGATTGATTGTTTAATTATTGTAATTCTACCACAATCACTCATTTAAAATTTAAAATAATATATTTTAAATGATATACTTATCCTTTTAATCATTCAAATATTAAAAATATATATTATAAATAAATTCAAAAGAAATTATTATTATATATGAAATATATCAACTTAAAATATAATAAAAATATAAAAATATATATAATTATAATAAAAATATATTTTATAATAACTCACTATTAATATTAATATATAAACCATGAATTTTATTTACTTTTAAGTAACTAAAATAATTTATTAAGTAATAAATTACTTTTTAAGGGTGTTAGTATTAAATTATTAAAATAAGATGTAAATACATAATTGAAATGAACTCATGCATTATTAGTAAGGGCAAAATTATAATTTGCTTCAAACCACTATTTCCACCGTATTTTTTTTATTTTTCACCCATTTAGTATTGATTTTGCAGCCAAAACGATTTTTTTTTTGTTGCTAAAAGTACTTTTAAAAATTCATACCAAATAGAGACCTTAACACGAATGATAACAGACAACTTAAAATAATCAATTAAAAAGCTAAGGCATATAGTAGATAAAATGCAATGAATCATTAGATTCATTATTACCACCTACCAAAGATAAAGGTAAGATTTAAACATGTATCAAAATCACTCCTACGCTAGTAAATATTACCATCTCAGTAATATCAGTTATAAAAGAGAACATTGTTTTTCAACATTCCTTAAAATATATGCACAAACTACCATTAAAGAAGAAAAAGATGGTGTTGACTTAAATAAACTAATTGATAAAGGTTATCTAACACAAGATGCATTGTACATTGGCAGTTCCATTGGAGCCCAAGGAAGTACACATTCATGCATACAAAGACATCAACTGATCTTTAAGAGCTTCTTAGGGCAGTAGTTTTAACATACAACTTGATGCCTTAAAGCATAATGACTAAATTCTGGTAAGTTGCATTTGAAATTTTAGCACTCAATTCTTTTGTCAAATATACACCAAATCATCACCATTCACCACCTTAACCAGAATAAAACACAGCTTCTCACCTCATAAACAAAACACACACAAAAAGACACCAAAATACCATAACAGCAATATCAATGTGTCCTTAACAGCAGAGGAGACTGACAAGCAATGCAGGTTACATGTGCAAAAGCACCATAGTTCAGTAAAATTATTCAGGTAATTCCATACTTCTGGATAGAGTTGTTATAGATTTGTGAGTTGCTAAAAACCAACCTCCTCTGCCAGTTCGGTTCGGCTCCTTAGCACCTCCATGCCAAAGCTGAGATAAGATCCCTTCGCTGCCAGCAAAGAGCAAGTGAAGTATGGCGTTTTTCTATATGAAAACCCCTTGCTTGAGCCCTTTTTACCACATATTCAGCTTGAGTTTCGGTGAAGCTGCTGAATGATATAGGGGTGAAACCAGCTGAGGAAAAGAGGGTCTTCCATGGTGGCATTTTCTCGAGTGAATGCATTCGTCCCAATATGGTGTTTTCGATTCTAGGCACAAGAAGGAACCTTTCAATCTTGTTCACAGCATCTGAAGATACACTAGCTTCATCAATGGATTCCAAAAGGCTTATATATGAATGAAATGCATTGATTATATGCTGTGGGAATGCCAAATCATATCTATCGCACCCTTGGTCTATGGACACCACGGTTTTCGGCCTAAGCTGCTTCACAAAGCGTAAAACATTTGGCAAAATAGAGGGTTGACTCGAAACAGACCAAACGGGGAAGTTCACAGCAAATGCCTCATTTTCATTAAATCCGAACATAGGCAAAGAATCGATATTCAGTACCTCGAGCTCAAAGCTTACACCGATTTCATTTGCAAATTGCATGAGATTTTCCCGCATAAGGCTGAGCTCCATAGGATGGTGTGTTAACGGGGAGGCAAAGGCTGTAATTCTCAATGAAGGAGGTCCTTTACTCCTCATAGGAAGCTCCTGCATGAAGGAAGCCCACTGAGCACCAAAGCCAATATCAAAGTCCACAATGTGAATCCTATCAGCATCATCAAGAGCTTCAAGGAGGGCCTGGTTGCACGTAAAGTTTATGAATTGGATAAGGGGGGAAACTTCAGATAAGACCTTGTATGCTCCCATTTTGAAGACAACATCAAAAGGGGTGGAGCCCCTAGGAAGCTGGGGTGAGACTGGGTTATTATTCATGAGAAGTAACTGCAATGCCTCCTTGAAGTAGAAAGCAGCCCTTTGAAATGGCTTGCCTATAGGAGACAGCTGGTGATTGAGCCGCGCCAATATCCCTTGCGCGTGTGAGAAATTCCCAGTCTCTACCAACTCAGCAACCTTGTAAAGCTGGTCTAACAATGTGGCTTCTTGTTGTTGTTGTTGAGCCATCATCAATGGCTTCTGCTGAGGAAACTCCATAAGATGCTGCTTTCTCATAAACTCACAATCAGAAAATGGCAACTTTGGGATCTGAGAACGAAGCTCCAGGTTACCATGGTTGAGCCGTTTTGTTAAAGGCTGAATGGTATGATTTTCCTGAGAAAATGGCAAGAAAATGTTAGGGTTTTGGGGATGTAAAATTTGGGGTTTCGCTTCTTGGGTTTCAAGGTATTGACTTTGCTGCTGCTGTTGATAAAGCGTAGGCAAAGAAACATTGAGACCAGTACTCTCAGCTGGTGAAGCAAACATTGAATTTTGAATACCATTCCCATTATTGTTGGCATTTGGCAGAATTCCAGAACCTGAAAAACAACCCAAATTACCAGGATCCGAGTTAACAAGGTTACCAACCGAGTCAAACCCGGGACCTTGATCAACAACCCCAAGCCCTGATTTGCATTCAAAGTCAAGACCCTGATTGGGAGAAGCACCCCCACTCTGGAGCAGCTGTTTGAGACCAAAACTATTATGGTCATCTACTTCACCAGTGATCCAATGCAGTAACGAGTTGTCCTGACTCGGCAACACGGCAGACTCAGGCAACATAGTCTCCCACTCTTCCAATCCATGATTGCATCTTGGAGCACCTCCAGGACCTGTAACAAGGTCAAGTTCACTCGAGATCGGTTGAAACTCCATGGTCGTAGTGGTGGTGGTCTCGGTGAGATTACAATCACCGCCGCCGCCAGGAGCGGTGTCTCCGCCGTTGAACGAAGAGGAGAGAGTAGATGCTGACGTGGGTGGGCTTTGGCTTCTTCTCATATGAAGAACAGATGTCGGTTCTTGTTGACAAATCGAAGCAAACCCCGTAAGTTCCACCGCCGCTTTAGCCTGGAACTGAAAGTGCATTTGTATTATCGTATACAAACGAAAAGACAAAAGAAAGCAAGTTTTTTTCTAGTAGTATCAGAGATTAAGACAACAACTTTTTTTCCTACAACGAAAAAGAGGACCTAAAGAAAAAAAAACTTTATATACTGTTCTTCAAGATTTTTGAAACCCACACTATCTTTGTTTGCCATGAAATCAATCTCCCAACTTCAATTGAAAAAGACCCATTTTAACAAAATAACTCCTTTTGTTGTTCTCTCTCTTTATCCTAATCTCCATCTTTCATTCCATCTCCTCAGCTCCACCTTTCAAAAACTCTATTTTTGCATTTCCATCTATCTAGCAAGCTCTGTTTTTCACAATTCTTTTATATCTCTATTTTTTTTTACTTTTATCTTTCTCTCCCTCCCTCCCCCTATTGGAATTTATGGTTTTATTGCCGATATTACTGTAATTTCTCGTTGTTATATCTCTCTAGAGTCTACATCCTATTTTTTCTCTCTTCTCTTTGAATATATTTTCAACTCTATTTTTTTTGGCCAAGTTTTTTTAAAGACCACCTCTCTCTCTCTCTCTCTCTCTCTCTCTCTCTCTCTCTCTCTCTCTCTCTCTCTCTCTCTCTCCCTCCCTCCCTCCCTCTCTCTCTGCCAAGGGTTATTATCATCCCCATAGAGGTATAATTGTTTTGTATTTCCCCTAGTTTTAGAATATAGGGTAAACTACATGTTTAGTACTCAATTATTATTTTTGTTCTATTTTAATCACAAAATATTTAACGTTATGTTTTGATTTCATTTTGATCATACATCATTAAAAAATAGCAATATAATTTATATGTCATAATAAAGTAATATTACATCATTATTAAAACTTAAAAAATAATATAACGTCAATAATTATTTAAATTTTAGAAATGAAATGAAGTACATAAAATTAAATTTAAAAGGAAATGAATGAAGTAGAGAAATGTTTGTCGGGGAAGAAACTGCATCTTTTATTGAATGATAATAAAAACCATTTATTCACCCTTACAAAATATCACCTATTACCCTGGGTATAGGCGAATAGGGAAAGTTTGAGTATTACTCTAAAAGACATTTAAAAACCACATGTAGTTCTTCAGCCGTCCAGTTGTTAAGCATAAACCAAGGTGGCAATGGGCAGATTCCAGATCTATTCACATCTTCAATATCCTCTGTGATTATGTCATTGATGCTCAAATCTTTCAAAGCAACTTCCCAATCTGGTAAGGTGGTCTCAAACACATAGCCACCAGATTTAAATGTGTCGTAAAGAGGTGGGAAAACCATGGGCTCCCATTGAAATTCATTCCCGTTCAGTCTGGACAACCTTTTTCTCGGCGCTTCTAAATTTCCTTCATCTTCTATTGTTGATTGGGCTGAAAACCAAGCCCAAACTGGTCTAACTTTGTTATAAGAAGAATGAGGTTGATCTTTTATTGCAAAAAACTCATAAACCCTCTTCTTACCTTGGCACCTCTTCCCAAAGTCAGCTTGATATCCATTTTAGTGCATTCAAAGAGCTTGGGTTTGGAAATCTTTCATCCTTCAGCCACAAATATGGCATTCACAAACTTTAGAGAGTGAAACGAACACTCTACCGCTTCATCATTCACTTCTATGTAAGGGGCATCAGTGGTCACATTCGCCACTATATCTTTTTTAGCATTAACAATTACAAGAGCCCCGTCAATGACAAACTTAACTTTCTAGTGCAGCGTAGATGGTACTACTCTAGCTTGATGGATCCAAGGCCTTTCTAGAACGTGCTTGTAGGAAGGTATAATGTCCATCACCAATAATTCGATGTTGTAAGTAACATGTCAAATGGTTAAAGATACCTCAATCTTGCCGATTACCTCCCTCTTGGTCCCGTCAAATGCTCGGACCACACTCTGGCATGCTCTCATGTGGGAAGTATCCATTGTCATCCTTTTCAAAGTAACCAAAGGAATCACATTAAGTGTAAAACCATTGTCAATTAACACACTAGGTAAGGCGTGCCTCTTGCAATGGTTGGTGATGTGTAATGCCTTAGCTCGACTTTTCCCCTCAGACGAAATCTCATCATCAGAAAATGAGATGATATTGTCAGCTTGGATGTTGTTCACCAGTTGATCTATCTTCATGACTGTCATGCCTTATGGCACAAATGCCTAATTTAAGACCCTTAGAAGTGCCTCCCTGTGTGCTTCTGAGCTTAGCAGCAGTAGCAACATTGAAATACGTGCTGACAGGCTATATAATTGTTCACGATACTGTACTCACTGTGTTTGAGAAATTTCAGGAACTCTATAGCTTCTTCTTCATTTATTTGCTCATTTATCACCAGCACGTCCTCTTTGAATGGTTCGAGTGGTCTCTAGAGTGACTTAGCCTTTTAGGAGTAGTATTTCCCCACGACATGCCCCACTATATTATAATTTTTTTAAAGTGCTTACTTAACATTCGTACTTCCAAGGCACTTGCTTGTTGTCCTTGTAGGGAAAAGGTCTGGGTGCAGTGATCACCACCTGTTCTGGTTCCATTTCTATTGGTTGCACCTCAGGGGTGATTAATAACAGACGACTCCTACCGTATCTCTATCAACTGACTCTTCAGTCATACAAACATCGGCTTCTGGAGTGTCTTGAACTTCTTCATAGAATTCTAGCTCATTTCTATCCATCATAAGTTGGATCATAACTTTAAACTCCGAGCAATCTTGCACATTCTTCATTGTGGTAACAACAATTGTTACCATCTTCATGTTTCGATGTATCGAAATATGGTATAAGAAACCTTTCTTTCACTATCTATCTCCATACCCAAGCTAAAGGAGACGTTATTTCAGCAACACTTATTTTAACTCTCTTGTTCCTTTCCTCAACAATTGCATTAACTCCGTCTTTTTGGTGGTTAGGCAAAGGTTCTGTGCAATATTTGGTGCCCCTAGGTTATAGAAGTGGATTCAATTCTTATTTCACATTCTCTGTATGATCCTCTTGAATACGAGGCAATTCTCGATAGTGTGTCCTAGAACACCACTATGATATTCACAATGAGCATTCTTATCATACTACCTGTGGTATGGGGGCTTCATAGGTTCCACCGGGTATGGTGACACTACATGAGTGTCGAAGAGTTGCTGATAAAGTTCTTTGTAAGTCATGGGAATATGATCAAAATGTTCTTTTTCTCATTTTTTTCCTAGGTTCCCTCGAATATGATTTAGAAGTACTTGACGGTATAACTACAATCGATTTTGGGTTGGAGATTCTAACACCTTTGTTGTTATAGGTGTTGATGTTGTTGACCTCTCTATCCCTCTTCTTCATAGGAGGTTTTTTACTCGACTATCCTCATTCGATCTTACCTTTCTTTACGACCATTTCTATCATCTCCCCAGCTATAACCAACTCAGAAAAAGTTTCAGATGTGATTGAAACCAGGTGCCTGAAGTAAGGAGCCTTCAGTGTTTGTACAAAGAGTTTCCTAGTTTCCTTCTCATTCAAAGGTGGATGAATTTTCACATCTAAATCCCTTAATTTATGTGCATATTGTCTGAAACTTTCGTTATGATTATTGCAGCATAACTCGATCTGGTCTCATACCGTTTACATATTTGTATTATTCCAAGAATGACTTGGCTAAATCTTTCCAAGTCTTGATATGAGACCTGTTCAACTGATTGTATTTCTGGATGGCTGAACCAGATAGACTCTCTTGGAAGAAGTGAATCAGGAGTTGGTCATTTCCTACGTATCCTGTCATCTTTCGACAGAATATGGTAATGTGGGCTGACGGGCAATTATTCCCATCGAACTTCTCAAACTCAGGGACCTTGAATTTCAAAGGAAGAACCAAATCTAGGCATAAATTTAGTTCCAAGGCATCAACTCCATAGTAATCATGGTCTTCTTTAACTATCTTCATTTGGTCCTCCAACTGCTTGATTTTATCTTTCATTTTCTTTGCCTTGTGCTCTTCATCAAAATTTGGTATATGATAATCATCCAGATTATTCTTAGGGTTGGACACAGAAGTCTGTACTTTTACAACAAATGAGGCCTTTGCTTTTGCAGCGGATGAGTCCCCTTGAAGTCCTGATAAGATTCCAGGTGAGATAACCACATGCGGGGTAGGTGGTATAGCTACCCCTTCAGATGACCCTGCCCCAGACGTACTTGATTGATTCAATCCAGATAACTTGGCAATAATTTGATCGACCAAAGACTCTTGGCTTTTAGTGATCGATTCCAGATTACTTTGATTATTTTGACTTATTTTCTCTTCCAACTCCCTTTGTAACCTCAGCATGTTCTCTTCGAGTTGAGCAATTTTAACTTCCATTTTCCTTTTCTTTGTACGGGTGTTGTGAGGATGATACGTGCCAAATGCTTGTGGAGGTATACCCGGTGTTTGTTCTCCCTTCTGATGAGACATTTTCTGTTAGTTAATGTAAATGTAAAGAAATGGAAAATAAAAATAAAATGCAAAGTATGAAAAAAATGCATGATGCATGAGAATTAGAGGCATTGATCCAAAAATATGTGTGCTATTATAAATAATCTTTATTGATACAAAAGTGTTATTTTTTAAGAGACAAAAACATCTTAAAGGTACATTTTGACTAAGTCCTCTAAACCTCGAACGCCTTCTAACAGGTTGACAAATCTTCTTTCTTCATCTGTCACTGGTTGAATACCTTGCCGGACAACTCCAGCTTCTCTCGCTAAACCATGCAAGTGACGAGCTTCTTTTTGTACTTGTTCCAAGAAATCTCGAATGACTGCATCTCTGGATTTCACCCTTTGCTGAACCTGCTCCCAACAAAAATGCCATTGAAGTCCTCCATCAAAGGGAGCTATATGAAGCTCACTTGCTTGTTTCTTGAACTCGTCCATAATGACTTCTAACTCAGCTATGGTTTTGCCATCATGTTCTTGTTGTTTCTGAAGAGACTTCTCTAAATCAGTTACCTTGATCCTCAAACGTTTGTTCTAGTGTTGGCTTTCTAACAAGCGTTTTTGAGAAGTCTTTAACTACTCTTTCAGTGTCTCTCTTTCATCTTGTCTTTTGAATTTTCTTTTTAGGCTTCAACTTTCCAGTATTCAGAAGATCTTTTCAGATTGGAATTGCTCTAGACTTGCTCTTGATATCATTTTCTCAAATCTTTGAGCTCAAAGCAGATTTTCTTATGTTCACTTGCTAACTTGTCTACCTGATTCTTTTGAGTATCGACATCTAATTTCCACTGGAATATTTCAGCCTAAAGTTCCCTTAGCCTTTGTTTCAGTTCTTTCTTTTCAGCTTCAAATTCTTTTTTGCTATTTCTAGTTTGGAGGGAACGAGTTTAAGATGTTTTTCCATGGCCCGAGTGTCTCATGCTCTGGCACGGGAATGGTGACATTCTTCCTTAACTTCCACCATTCCAAATAATTTGGAGTAAGCATGTCTTTAGTGGCCACGACATCCATACGAAATATCTTTTTCCATGAATCAACTACTTCTTTGACCTTTTTCTTATAGTTGTCCTCATGGTATGGAAATTCTGATCCAAATATTCCGTGTGTAGCTAGGATAAACTGGTGTGCCCCATACTATCGAAGTGCCAAAAGTGGAGAATATTCGACTCCTCTCTATAATCCAAGTAACTTTATGGTTTCTAAGTCTCACATCGAAAAAGAATGTCACTATGGGTTAACCAAGGGGCTCTCCAAACAATGTCCCTATCTTGAAGGTGTGTGAATAATTTTATCCATTTTTCTTTTGGGATACATTCCTGCCATTTTAGTGTAAGGAATTCCCCCAAAGGAGAGTAAGTGGTGCTGAATCGACTGTAAGAGATCCCGTTAGTCTTCTAGAAATGACTATGGATCCAGACCTGAAGAAGCTGTGTGCACCATATAAATCTTTCTCCACCAGTCTTTATGTAGTGGTTGAGTAAGCAAAAAATTTCAGCTAATATTTCCGATACCGAGTTTACTCGCTTTATGAGTTGTTCGAACAGTTCCACCACAGCCGCCTCAATGTATCCCAAAGTCTTGGGGAAGATAACCAAACCATAAAGGCCTAGCGCGAAAGTTCTATCGCCTTCCATTCATCATGATGATTCTTCATTAGTTGCTTAATATGGGTCCAAGCAATTCTTCTCCATTATTTGTGCTAAATCCAATCAGTTGCCCACTTCTCATCTATCCCCACAACTTTCGCCAACCCATTCTTGAAAGGTTGACTTTTGATGTACTTGGTGTAAACCCGGTCTATTCTAATTCCTTCACAATGTAGCAAAGTGGTATATTCTTCGATTATGGGTACCATGTCTTCTTGGTTAAATGTGAAACAACTGTACCCCGGATTCCAGAATAGTACTAAGGCTCGAATTAGGGGCTCATCTATCTTAACATAAAGTAGAAGTGCGATATCACTATACTGCTGGCAAAATCTCCATTTTTGGTCTCTTTTCCAGATGTCCCAAATACTCTGCATTTCTTGAACATCATTCTACTTAAGGCTGACGGAAGCATAACCAACCAGATCTGACATATAGTTTCCTTGCAGACTGTCTCCCTTTTCTGTCTGAGTCTTTTCTGACCATAGTCGAACCTATTCATTTCTCACCTCTTGCATTACAACCCCTTTGTCCATTAATGCAAATTATTTGTGTGTAACGAACACTTTTTGTGGATCAATCACCTCTTTTAATGAAGCAAATGATTAAAAAAAAGAGAACAAAAATGAAAGAGAAACCATTTAGTAAGATAGAAATAATAATCAAAATAAAAGTAAAAAATGATCCTACCCCAAATGATATATACCCTACATGCTTATTATTCCTACCCGGACATGATCTCTATCCTGCATGTTAATTTTTATTAAGTCTTAACCACATATACTGAATGCTTTGAATAATAAATAAAGTAGTGAATAACTCAATCATCCTAAGTTTTAAAATGAAGTTTTGGGGTGGGCTGTAATTCCTTGTAATCTCTCGGTTTAGGTTCTAAAACAAAGGTATCCGAGTTCTCCTTGCTGGCGCCCCCTTGGGCTTACCAGACCCTCAGTCCTAAGCTTATTACAAGCTTATGTGGACCAAGTTAAACTCGGGAGGACACATTACCTTATGGAGAATAAATTCAGACGAAGACATAAGGTATATGAATCCCGAAGGTTACTTGCTAGGCCTATACGGAGAATAAATTCCCACAAAGGCGTCACTTTCACCTCCACTTATACAAAAGGTTTGAAGTTCGGGTATAGAGCTTGAGATGACTTTTTTTAAAAAAAGTTGAAATCATTGAAAAACGTCAGAACAACTATTTACTTTAAAAATAATCAAAGATAAATAATAAGGATCAAATAAATAAATTAAAATTTAACTTTATAAGTTTCACTTAAGAAGACAACCGAAAATTAAGTTTAGCCTAACACACTTATTTGTCCCCAGCAGAGTTGCCAAGCTGTCGTAACCGTCCTTCGGGTGGGCTCAGAATCAGGCTTCAACTTAAATAAATGGGTTAGAGTCGCCACTAATCATTTATTTTTAAAAATAAAAATTAGGTTGATTGAAAACCTAAGTTTATTCTCTTACTTGATCTGCATCTTACCAAAAATATGTCGGGTTCGAGAGTCGGTTACAGTCAATGAAGGGTTAGCACCCTTGTATTACCCTTTCGATACTAATTTAATTTCCCAGTTGTTTTAATTTTGAAAATTAAAAGTTAAATTAAAAATAAAAATTTGATCCAAATTACTTACCTCCGATCGATAAAAAGTACCCCTAACAGGTCAAAAAGATGTTAGATTATAAAATAAAATATTGAATAGATCAAAAGGGAAAAAGTTAACAAAAGTTAAATTTTATAATTTAAACGAAACGAAGAAAAAAGAAATACATATATACATGCCTAAAAATAAATAGAAATAAAGTTAATAGAGGGGAATATAAAAAATAAATAAAACAAATTCATGCCACGTAATGGAACAAACCACGCAGATTAGGAAAATATTAAGTAATAAAGAAAAAGATGTAAAGAAGAGTTCAATTAAAATAAAAGAAAAAAAATGAAAATTGCAAGATCTCGTAAAAACAAAGACAATTTAAGAATTAATTAAAATAAAAAAAAAATAAAGAATAAAAAAAATAAGAAAAAGAATAAAAATGAGTATTTTCGGATCAAAATCTCATTAAGCATAGTAGTCTTTTAAATATAATTAAATGAAAATGTGGAATATAAAAACAAGGACCAAATTAAAAATAAAATAAAGAGTAAGGTAAATTTAAAAGGAAAACCATTGTTAAAAATTAAATACAAACATAAAATGGATTTGCAATAAAACCTTGAGGACTAGCCATGTAATTTGACCCTACCTGTGAGAAAACACGCGGATCCTAAGTGATCCGTATGGGTCCTCGGGTCGACTATAAAGCCCAACATCTCTTAAACAACTTTCATTTTTTCCTCTCTCCAAAAAACGAATCAAAACATTTTCAATTTTTTTCTCTAAAACCTTCTTCATGTTCTTCATTCTTTGAAGAACATTCAAACGAGATTCATATGAAACCCAATTTCCGGCCAAGCTCCGCCTAGCCGGCCACCGTGGACTGGCACCGACCTCTGTTAATCGGTTGTGAAACCCAACTTTCTTTACATCATTCGAAAGCCCTTCTCTCCCTCTTTCCAAATCCCATCAACATTCCTATGAAAAAACCTCGAGGAGGGATAGATCTAAGGAAGATCTTTTGCATACCCCTCCTCCTGATCATCAGTTTTCTTTTTTTTATAGGGTTTTTCAAACCAAAAAAAACAACAACAAAAAAAGAAAGCCGAAGCCAACAAATGCATCGAGAATCAAACCGAGAAAGGTAAAAATATTACCTTTTATAAACGTTTTATTTTCGTGATCACAAGTGTTTTGTTTCTTCCAATCTAACCTATTTTTTTTCATTTTGCAGGGATTTATAGCCTTAAGGATCCCATTTTTTCGTTTGGTTTAGTGTTTTATTGAGATTAAAATACTACATGCTTTCTTTTTCGCTTGGTTTGATTATCACGAAACCCATGTTGTGACGAGAAATCTGGGAATGGGTTGTTGCGGCTGGGATGAGGACTCTCGAGGAGCCCTAGGATGTTGAACGTCGGATGGTAAGTTGATCCAATAGACGAAAAATATGCAACGCCAAATGGAAAGAAATGAAACCCTAATTCTTAAAACGTGGACCTAGCAGGGTTGGCCTTCGGGTTGGGCCTAACACAAAACAAAAGAATTGGTTTAAATTAATAATA